CAACTCACAAGCCACCACAGTATGACAAAATGACAGATGAGTGGTGTTCATGACTTTTTAGCTCCCCATTTTGGGTAGCCAATGTCTAAGTTGCCCAACCCTGTCAACCCTATATACAGATAGGGTGGGAATGATCCATGCTGTAAAGATTCATTCCCTCTTTTAAGCTGCTACATCCATAAGTATAGGTCAAGTTCATCAAATTTAGCAGATTACACTTTTTTTCCCTCTTCTTTCTTCCTCTAGTTGAGTTCTGATCATCCAGTTGTTGAAGATAGGCCACCATTCCAATTACGGTTAATTATCAATGCATCTTTGTTGCATGCTTGATCATTTTCAGACTGAAGAAGTTGGTACAATTCTTCAATTTCTTCATCATTGGCATTAGTGTTTGGTGGGTAAATTTGAACAATAGTTGCATTAACTGATCTGCCTTATTATTAAGTTGTTAAGTGCTGTTGAGTTGGTTCTGACTCAGAACAAACCTGCATAAGATTTTTGAGGAGTGGCTGGTAAGTTTGAACCACTGACCTTTCAGTTCAAACCGACCTTGTGGTCCAGTGCTTATCCTATGGCACCATCATCCCAATGGAAATAGTATGGTTTTGTGGGTTTGATTTGCATTTGTCTGATGGATAATGATGCTGAGCTTTTCTATCATGTATTTGGTGACCCTTTTAATATTCTCTTTGGTGAATCTCTTTTTGTTATTTAGTTGTCAAAGTTTTAGATATGTCTTGGTTGCTAAATTCTTATCAGATGTATGTTTTTCAGAGGTATGTTCTGGGTTGGTACCTTGTCTTTTCACTTTTTGTGGTAAAATCTCGGTGAACAAGAGTTTAAAATTTTTATAAGGTACCACTTATTTTGTCTTTTGCTTTTTATCTTCAACTATATACACATATAAGGAGCTCTGGTAGCGTAGTGGTTACGAATCGGGCTGCGAACCATGAGGTCAGCGGTTCGAAACTACCAGCCGCTCCGCGGGAGAAAGATGAGGCTTTCTACTCCCGTAAGGATCTACACCCTCGGAAACCCTGTACAGGGTCGCTATGGGTCGGACCCGACTCGACGGCACTTAACAACAACAACAACAACATATACACATATACACACGAGGGGGCTTCAAAAATTTTATGGAAAAATGGAATTAAAATATGGAATATTTTCATGAAGTCTTCCAATCCATGAGCATGGAACATCTTTCCATTTATTTAAGTCTTCTTTAATTTGTTTCAGCAGTGTTTCATAATTTCCCCACGACTTATCCTTTATTATTAGTCATTTTCTTGCTGAAAACCCTTTAGCTGCTAACAGAATTCTGCAACAGGTAGCAATATACTTTTTATTTTATTTTAATGTTTTATTGTGAATTATATGATAGTTTACATGGGAGAACTTTAGCTTTACATTCATTCCATCTTATATTATCTCACTGCCATGGTTCCAATCTGCTCCATGCATCATCAACCACCCAAAGGGTATATACCAGAAACCCGCTCCCTACACGTCCCCCTTCTCCCCCCAGTTTTCGGCCCACAGTCCCTTTCCCTCTCTGGGTCCAAAATCCCCAGTCGCTTCATCACTCCACGTCATCATCTCTGTCTCCATCTCAGGCATCTCTGTTTCTCTGGGTAGGGTCCCGCTCTC